ATATTACATGGAATGGGTATCAATGAGAGTTGATATATATGGTATTATTGAGGTTACATCATTTGATTTTGTTTGTCATAACATTCAATATTCAATGCACATACAGGTCACATAATAAGAAAATCACAATCTGATGATGACTATATATATGTATGTACTTTAGCAATTAATTTATCAAATGGAATGATTGCCCTTTTGTCCTGGGCAACTGAGTGTACTGTTTTTAGCCTAAAGGGTGATCAATTTGCAACTTGGTTCTATGACAAACAAAACCAGACACATATAACAGGTCTCACCATTAATTTCCACAATTATATTTAATATGCTAGATCAATAAGTCCAGTTATTTCTTAATTTCGCCTCCATCTACAACTATGTTGATTTTTAACACAGTCATTAGTTATTGATAATTTTAAATTGAAAAGATTTGTTAATATGAGCTAATTACAATTGAAATTAAAGAATCTATAGAGATTCAATAAAATGCTGAGCCAAAATGATTCTAACACAAACATTTATATATTGCTCAGATTTCATTATATTTCTTTTAGGGTTATAAAAACGATATCTCAATTTTTATATGAACTATAAAAATTATCACTCTGAATTGTAAAATAAATTAATTATTCACATTAACACAGTCCGTCAATAATTTTCTTAAGACAATCATTTAATGAAAATTAAACCTGAGTCGATAAAATTAAAATATAACAATTTAATTTTAAATTAACCTTTATATATGAGTTCTATTAGTTTTTTATTAGATAATAGCAATGTCTTTGGATTTGTCGATATCTCTCCAAATTCTTAGAATCTTACCGTCGTAAAATAGTATATATAAAAATTATACATTTTAAATTTTTAAGTATTTAGTATTTGACTATCTTGAAATAGTATATAAGAGAATTATAGCGCGAAAACAATCCCTAAAACTAAGAAGAATATAAGAGTGTACTAATTGAAAATTATGAAGACTATCGAAAATCTTGATTCTGTTTAATTTCATTCCTCGTCTACCTGTATGATAAAATAGGATTAATTTGGTGATGAATTAGATGGTGGATAAAGATTTTGTTGTCTCTTGGTCGACGGTGGAGGCAATGTAATTGAACTTTATGAGGTGGCATCTGAGCTTTGCGATGCCAGGTCTTTTTTAATGCCACCATATTAAGAAAAAAGAAAGCCAAGAAGCTACCTGTTTTCAAAAGCAACTAAGACTATATCAGAAACTATTTCTAAAATTTTATGAATTCATTTGCAAAGACACACTTTCTTTAATTACGAATACATCAAGGGAATGCAAGAACCAGCTGAACTTATTTAATTTATTTAAACCAAACTGTTAGAGGGACCAGTTCAATTGAACCAACAAATAAGTTCCATCATTAATTTCATTTTGATTTTTTAATTATATATTATCTTCTAGTGGATGATATTGTGCTGCATAATATTAGTTGTAGAAAAACTAGAAATTGAAGGAAATGACTACGCTAATTAACTTGAGATTATTTTATTAATTAATTGTGTAGGTGCCTTCGATAATCAGGATTCGTAAAGTGGAGTTTACTCAGCATTGTCGACTTATTAGTTTGAATTAAGGTGATATCTATGATGAGTTGACGGAATGATGATTGTTGAGGGAGTCAAGTGAGAATGACCTTGTTGACTTGAATTCATCTGAAAAATATGTTCATATATTTTTAATTTTTATTTTTGAGACATTAAAATAAGAAACTTAAGATCTATCTTTATAATGTATTAGAAGTTTTGTGTTCATTAGTGAAAAAAATGTTAGTAAGGGAGAAACAATGTTGTTACTTTTATAAAATTAGTTTGGAAATTTGGTTGGTAATAGTATTGATCATTACTAAAGAATTCATTGATGGAGCGAGAGCATTATTATCAAATGATAAATATGTCTCATGCCAACAATTATGTCACTATGGAATAAAATAAAATAAAGAATATATAGAAGCAATTATTTATTTATATAGCAAATCGGTCAAAGCATTTATAGGAATCATATTTTTTCATTACAAGCCATTATTTGTGCAGGGAATTATAGAATGAGATCTTAAATAATAAAATATTGTCAACAACAACAAAAGAAAATATATATATATATATATATAGAAAAACAAAATATTTAGATTATCATAATCTAGCATCTTTAAATTCTTAGAATATAAATTATGTTGTGTATTGGATTAAAAATAAGTGATGCTACAAGTATAGATAATCATGTGTATTTCAATCTAGTACTTACATACCGAAAGGATACAAGTTTAATGATGCTTTATAAACTACTTCTTGTAAGTCTTGACCTGGAATAAGAAAAATTTTACATACAAAGATTATGTTGATGCATTTTAGATTGGATAAATTTGTTAGTGAAAATAAATGATGTTGTGTGAGTTTTTACAGAAAAAGAACCAGGGTTCATATTATTTCATAAGAACATATATGGCAATGCAAGAAATTTTTTGATTCAAAAGATTTCTATAGTATTTAAACTTCACAAATGATAGCAAGAGTCATAAGATTACTCTTCGCAATGAAGCATAATTAATCTTCAAATAATTCTTCGGATATTTCTATAATCATTATAAAAATTATCATGTAAATAAATAATTTGTGGCATATTCTTACAATATAAGAGGTCGTAGATGCAACATGTGTATTGATAAATATGTAAGAAAAATTTAAACTTTTATGAGATGAGAGTGTACTTTATTGCAACTCATAGATTGAGAATCTGCATATGATATTTTCTTATCTTCTTCAACTTTCTGACGAGTTAAAGTGAAAAAATATATTATTCATAGGCATATATAATACAAAATGAGTTTAGAAATATGTCTAGTACATTACTTAAACAAACAAACTCCTTCCATTTCTAAATGATATACAAAGATGTTGTAGTTTTAAATAAAAAAGCTTAAATAAAGTTTGAGCTTAAACTTTTGCCTTAATAACAAATTAAATTAAGGTCCTCCTAGTAGTTATAATATGTGAATTCTAATAGTGCTAGATGTCTCAATTATATACTTTGTTATTTAATGTCAAACTTGGGTTTATAATATATGTTTCTGAACCAAATGTATTATTCATAGGAATTTTTTTTTTTAAAAAGCATACTCTTCTAATAACAAGAGAAAAATCTATTGGACGTACTTTATTACAATGTATTAAATAAATTAATTATAAAAGAGAACTAAGTGAGTGCATCTCTACTTTATTTGTGTAAGACCATTAAGAATATAAAGATTGCAATAGTTATCTTTATAAACTTGATAGTTTTTAAAATTTTAGCTCAGTTGTTGCTATTTTAGCATGCTACTAAAGATCATGTACAATTAGCTTTTACAATACATATATAGGAAATGATTAAGTTGCTAATTAAGAAAATTCTAAGAGAAATGAAGACTTTTTCATATATCGTTGAGGTTGACTATTTATATTATACTAATGGTTCATATCTTAATTTTTCATACATGATAAAAGCTCAAAAAGTTAAACATATTTTAAAAGGTATGTAAATACTTTAAGAAACATAAATATCAAAGAACGAAGTCAAGAAATTAAATAGTTTTGAACTACTAGTTAATCCTAAGATGTTAACAATGTGTAAAGATCTGAGTGCAAATATATAAGAACATAATAAGAATTACAAGATTTATAGGAGTTCACAAAGAGAACTATGGTAATATCTGCAGGAAATTCAAACCCAATGGATCTTTAATCCTCCGAGCTCTTAGTTAACCAACCACATCCTCTTCAATCTTTATTCAATATATTTAAGGATTTCTTTTACAACCCTTTGGGTTTATATTGAAGATTGACTATTTATTTACTTATTCACATATCTTTTTTATATATAAATGATCTATTTTCACATATGTAGGAATCAATTAATGAATGAAATATTTTAAATATATTTTTACTATCTTCCTCAAATTTCTCTCTTTCTCTCTCTCTCTCAATATCCATCTTTTCTCTCTGAATTCTATCTATTTCTCTTGATATTTTTACTTTATCTTTCTCAAATCCTTTTATTTCTCCTTTAACTCTCTCTATTTCTCTCAAACTTGAATACATACTTTTTTAAATTAAAATCATGTACCTGGGTCTTGACACAATGAAAACCCATTGCTTGTTGGTCACATTATCTACCTTTTATATAAAATGGATATGCTAAAATTACCTTAAAAGAATTAACATATTTGTACAAATGTACAGTTAAATATTCAATATTTTGATGTTTGAGACTATGTGGGAAGGTGTTGAGGGATGCCTATAACTTCAATATATGTGATGTTTCATTGTTAGTGTCTTTTTGTTTTTAGGCTATTATGTTTTTGTAGTTTTTTCTTCAATTCCAATACTTTTCTTTAGGCAAAAAAGTAGAAACATAACCATCATACATGGGATAATCCATCCTGTATAAAAAGAGGAACAAAGAAATCAAGAAGTTCCCTAATTACATAATTCTCAATAGGAATCAAAAGTGTAATGTCAGCTAACGAATGGGTAACCAAATGCAAGTTTTTAGAGACCCAAGCTAAATGAACAAAAAAGAAATAACAACGTAGTGAAATTACATCATTAATTAACAAACTCAATCTCGAATATAACCTTCCACTCGAGTTGAATAAATTAAAAAGTTATTTTACACCTCCCTCCACTTGAATTGATCACAATACTCATCAAT